ATTTTTTTTTCCTTGGCACTACAGCCCCAGTGGGCCTAGGCCTACCTCCATGAACTCCGTTCTCTTCGGTTTTTCTAGATCTTACACATTCGGTAGGACTCCTTGGGCGAGTGATCAGCTCGTCGCAAGGATACCATCTTAGAACCTGCAAATGTAGGCAACATGTTACTCCGACACATCGATCTCACAACCCAGAAGATCTAATTAGAATGCACACCATCCTGAAAGTGGGAAAATCCATAAATTTGCTTCTTAGTAAACTTTTGTAACAAATAAGCTTATTTCGAAAGGACTGCCACCAAAGTCGATGGAGAAATTCCATCACGAGAATTATTTTTGCTTGTCATTAGGGGTCAGCCCGTATTTTGTAAGAAGCGATCGACCTCCGGATTTAACGCCGTATACTTCGAAGAAAGTACGATGCTTCAGAGGAACATATCGCCTCCATCTTCATGGTCGAAGAGTAAGCCAATCAAGCAATCAACAGATACTTTTCGGCTGATTCTGCTGGATTTTTTCTTGGCTTATTCTTCAACCCTGAAAATGGAGGTGATATGTTCCTCCGAAACATCGAGCTTTCTCCAAACTACACAGCAATACAATCCATGAGATCGTACTAGTTCGTAGTTACTGTTGTGAGAACCTCAAATCTACCGCAGTTTGTAGAGTTATTAACGTGCAGGATGTGAAATGAATTCTTCTATTTAAAGGAGGAAACTCGGGACATTTTCTTCCTTTGGGTTTAACACTTAAAAAACTGGATCAGATTGGAGACAGCGCTGTACATATCCTTTTAAAGAGAGACGCCAAGAAGCGAAGAACTCTTGCAGCAGCAGACTTTGGTGGCACCAGGATCACAGGAATTCGAAGTGGGATTTCTTTCTTAATTGAATGGAATGGGCAGCGCGGGCGTTTCCTCAACGGATAAAGTTCATCATATACCCTCTGACGAAGGTCGTACCATAACTCAGGCGGTTAGTTCCTGGCTTCCCTCCGCTGCGGGCCCAGGTTTGATCCCAGATCAGGTCATGTGGGATTTGTGGTTGAGAAGTGGCACTGAGTCAGGTTTTCTCCGAGTACTTCGGTTGGTCCTGCCAATTATCGTTCCAACGACTGCTGCACGTTCATCATCAATTCATCATCTATCATCTGGGGCTGGTAACAATAGGCCAGTTAGTGACCGACGTACCAAGTGGGCTTAGTCTTACCCCACCCCAAGAAATTAAAAAAAGAACATCTGACGATGTGGCCTGAGAATGAACTTGATGTCGTCAACGCTACATACTTTCCTTCCTTGTATGGAATTGTTTCAGTGCATGTGACTACGAGAGAGGCCAACAGATGTGCGTGAATTCAAAGTGTGAATCTGTGTTTGCCTTGCGTTGCTGCAACTACTCCGACACATGTGTATGTCACTTAGCCTAAATCACGGAACTGCCACAAACTTGTAACGGCCTTCATACTTTTTTAGTTGTGTACAGTTAACATGGCAGTCTTATGGACTTGTGAGCAGAACAGACTTTCTTCATTGGAAATACGATCTTGAAATACTGTAAGATGATATTTTAAAAACATGTTATGCTCATCGACTGATTATTATACAACTCATCCATTATAACCTGATCCTAGCACTTTTGAGGTTGAAATTGCTATTGCAAAGTTGTAAAGGTATAAATCGCCAGTTAATGATCAAATTCCGGCAGAACAAACTCAAGCAGAAGGTGAAACATTATGGACTGAAATCTGTAAGCCAATTAATTCTGTTTGGAACAAAGAATAATTGCCTCATCAGTGGAAGGAGTCTATTATTGTACCAGTTCACAAGAAGGGTGATAAAACTGACTGTAGTAATTATTGTGGGATATCACTGTTATCAACTTCATACAAAATTTTATCCAAAATCCTTCTCTCAAGGTTAATTCCATACATAGATGAAATTATTGGGGATCATCGGTGTGGGTTTCTACATAACAGTTGAACTATTGATCAGATCTTTTGCATTCGTCAAATACTGGAGAAAGAATGAAGTACAGTGAGGCACTACATCAGCTATTTGTAGACTTCAAGAAAGCCTATGATTCAGTTTGGAGAGAAGTATTGTACAATATCCTTATAGAAACCCATGAAACTAATTAGGCCGATTAAAATGTGTTTAGACGAAACGTATAGTAAAATCCGTGTAGGTAAATATTTGTCTGATGAGTTTCCTATCCAGAATGGTCTAAGCAAGGAGCTGTTTTATCGCCACGGTTTTTCAACTTTGCTTTAGAATATGCCATTAGCAAGTTCAAGGAAAACCATGCGGAACTGAAATTAAATTGGACGCATCAACTGCGGTTCTATAATGATGTGAATATACTGGGAGATAACATGGATACCATAAAGAAAAAGAAAAAAATTGACGCTAGTAAGGAGGTAGCCGATCACAGTTGCCCCCCGGTCAAAGGCATAAAATGTCTTCGCCCGCTCGAACATTGGGATCGTAGGTTCGAATCACACTCAAGGATTGGATGTCTGTGTTTATTCTGTGTTTGTGTTAGGTAGCGGCCTTGCGATGGGCTGATCCCCCGTCCAGCGGGTCCTACCAACTGCCTTAGATTAAGAAACTGAAGTGAAATGAAGTGTGTCATGGATGCCATATGCTCCAATTGGGACTATCAGGAATAGAAGAAGGTGTAATGAGGTAGGTTTAGAAGAAAACACAGAGAAATCTAAATGTATGTTGCTGTCTCATCACCAGAATGAGGTCAAAATCGTGACATAAAAATAGCAAGCAGATGTTTTGGAAATGTGGCACAGTTCAAATATTAGGGAACGACAGTAACAAATCAAAATTTGATTCAGGGGGGAAATTAAGAGGAGATTGAATTTGTGGTAATGCTTGCTACCATTCAGTCCAGAACCGTTTGTTTCTTGTCTCCTGGCTAAAAATGTAAAAATTGCAATATACAAAACTATAATTTCTTTAGCGGTTTTGTATGAGTGTGGAACGTGGTCTCTTGACATTGATGTATGAATATATAGACTGAGGATGTCCGAGAACAGGGTGCTGAGGACAGTTGTACTGAAGAGGGATGAAGTGACAGGAGAAAACTGCACAGTGAGGATCTTCGTAAGTTGTACTCTTCACCAAGTATAACTAGAATGATCATGTTAAGGTTGATGTGATGGGCAGGACATGTAGCACGAATGAGGAGAAGAGGAATGCATATAGGATATTGGTGGTAAAGCCAGAAGAAAAGTGATCACTAGGTAGACCAAGACCTATGTGGGTGGATAATGGATCTTAGAAATATTGGATGGGCTTGTATGGACTGGATTGATCTGGTTCAGGATAAGGAGATTTGGAGGGCTCTTGTGAACACAGTAATGAACATTTGGGTTCTATAAGATGTTGGGAACTTCTTGAATAGCTGCACAATGAACTATTTCTCAAGAAGGGATGAACTTCATGAAGTTAGTTAGTTGGTTGGTTGGTTGGTTAGTTAGTCAGGCTAGTCAGGCTTTTCAGAATATTTAGAACTGAAATTGTGTAATTTATTGCAGGAAATCCGTGAGCTCCTGTCAGACTTTCCTGTACAGTCAGTACAACTGCAGGGTGGTACTGGTTCAGGAATGGCTCGTGCCATTTTGGAAGACCCAGAGATGCTGGAAGACTGGGACCGTGATCGAGCATTCCATCTTCGTGGGCAGAGAGTGCCTGTTTCTCCCACACCAACTGAGATGATGCTTTGTGTTGCCCGTTTACCGCTCACATACACAGAAACACAGTTCACTGCTCTTGTTAAGACATATGGTGACATCTGTCGAAGTTTCCTCATGATTAGTGAGAAGACAGGTAACTTGATGCTGAGGCTTTCTTGTTTCAGTCGAATTCAGAGGTTCTCAACCCGTGTGCTGCAAGGTTTTGCCGGCTTCACTACAAAGCTTTGAAGAGAAGAATGTGTATATAAAATAAAATATGCATTTGGATATACGTTTTAAATCTATAGTTCTAACAAAACTTCTTAGTTTTCTCTTTATGATAATTTCATAATTTGTACGATAAATGACATTAATTAAAAGTAAGTCTACTTTTATTATGTATTAACTTCTCTAGTAGTGTGAAAAGTAGAAAGGTGCATCAAGCAGGCCATGCACACTGAAAGGTTTGAGAACCTCCGAACTAACCGGGACTCGTAAGTGCTACATACTACTATATAACTTACTACCAACAAATAGCAAAGCTACTATCAGTTTTGCTTGTAGTTTTGTATTGGTGTGAAATTTTGTTTCTGGCGTTCAAAGAAGACCGTGGACTGAAGGTATTTGAGAACAGGGTTCTGAGGAGAATGTTTGGACCTAAGAGCAATGGAATAATAGAAGGCTGGAGAATATTGCATAATGAGTTGCTTCATAACCTGTACTCTTTACAAAATGTAATTAGAATATTCAAGCAAGGAGGATATGATGAGGAGTGCATGTAGCACTTGGAGGAGCAGCGGAATGCATACAAGGTTTTGGCAGCAAAACCAAAAGGAAAGAGACAACTAAGAAAATCTAGATGAAGATGGGATGATAGCATTAAAATGGATTATAGAGAAACAGAATAGGGTGGTATTGACTGGATTCATCAGGCTCAGGATAAGGACCAGTGGAGGGCCCTTGTGAGAACAGTAATTGAATCTTCGAGTTCCATAAAATGTTGGGAAATTCTTGAGCAGCTGAGTTAGTGGCATCTTCTCAAAAAGGGACCAGCTTCACCAGAACAAATTTTTTGCTCTGATTTTTTTCATCCTTGTATTAACTCATTCGATCTCTTTGACTACAACATTCTATCAAAATAATCTGTTTTTTGTAGTTTGTCATTTTTTATGTATATAGCTTGAAATATTTATTTCAGAAATATGTAACTTTTGCCTGAATTGTCTTTTTTTATTGAATTTGAAACGGACTATTCTGAAATAACAGATTTTATCATCATACAAAGTGGGAGTGTGACTGGCCAGTGTAGTTGAAATGTATCAATTTGGGCTTGGAACATGCTAGGTGTAAGTATTACATTTTACTATAATTTCTTCAGGCTCTTGTGAACATAATAATGAATATGTTCCATAAAAGATGAGAAAAGTCTTGAGTAGGTGGGAAACCCATATCTCTGCTGCATGGACTCAATAAGATACTAACATATAATAGAAAACTCGGTATTTCATGTAAAGTGGTAGTTCAAATTGTCCATTGCAAAATAAACAAGGAACACAGTTATTACAATTCCTGAAAATGTGTTCAACCACATTAATGATTTTCAAATAACTGGATAGGCAGAAAGAGTTCACACTATTTTTCAGACTTCAAATTCAACAAAAATTAGTCTGGATTACTGGATTTTTAGACATTGTCTATCATCCAGTATTCTGAAGTATACAACATTTCAGAAACTGGATCTCTTTCCATCCTCAGGTGAAATGGTGGGAGGCACCTACTCTGTTGAATCCATTAGAAAGAACTAACTCCAATGCCTGAACTAGTGACTGAGTCACTGAAGTGAGTTCTTTTTCTCTGACCCAAGAAAGCAAGTGCCTCACACCCTTTCACCTGAGAATGGAAACATCTCATTTCCAAAATGGTATGTTAGTTAGAATACCAGATAGTAGACAAAGTCCAAGAACCCAGGAATCTCAAGTGTCATATACAATCATCAGAACCCATTATAATCAATAAAAATCAGACTTAGAATACATTGGAATTCTAACTTTTCACATATCTTTCCAATGATTGAAATTGTTGTGTGACTGTTGGTTCACCCTGCATTACACTATTAATTGAAGAATGAATTTACCAGAGAAATTTTAGTCCTCTGATGCATATCTAAGATGTATTTACTAACAGAGATATATGTTTTGATATTAGGAGACAGCAAAGGTTATGGTTTTGTGGAGTACACAACAAAAGAGGCAGCTCTTCAGGCGAAGAACATGTTAGATGGGAAACAAGTGGAAAATTGGATTCTGTGTTGTGATTGGTTGGACTCAAGTCACATCACATTTGACTCCCTCCATTCCAAGTGCCTCTATGTTGACAAGCTACCAAAAGATTTTCGTGACATGGGTGAATTTAGGAAGGTATTTGGATCTGTTGTCAACCCACCATATTGTCAGGTATGTGCTTGTATGTGTCAGTTCTTTGATTCCAGTTTTTGTTAGTACACCACACTTGCTTTATTAAAAATGAGCAGTAATATGGTTTCTGAGAAGAATCAGAAGTTCAAGTAGTTGCTCTTAGAAAGATCAGTGAATAATTGTAAATGAAAATATTCATTTCTTTGCATAAATAGGGTTAAGGGAAGGTGGAAGAAACTTTAAATGATGACTGAAAACAAAATCATTTTGAGGAAAAGAGCGCTGTCTTCTTTGATACGATGCCATATAGCCTGGTAGAAGTTGACTGACATTTCAGAGGCACATACTGCATCTATATTTAGGTATGGAGTAAACCAATCAAGCAGCATGTAAGACTTAAACAGCAGTTAGTGTCAAACTTTTACCAGACTACGTGACATCACATTGTAGAAGGTAGTATTCTTTATAGTCACTGCTGTGAGAACCTCAAATCCAACATTCCAAAAGAATTTGTATTGTGAAGTTTAATCCACCTGTTTTTACTGTTTTTGAATATTAATTTTTCACATTATAAAATTAATGCAGTATGAAAATGTTCTAAGTTGTATTGTCATGTGCAATTCTCTTGTATCATTCTGCCTTGTAAAATATATGGTTTTCATTTCATCACGTTCTGAATTGGAAAATAAGGCTACTGGACAAAATTCATGCAGCATGTAAGAGAGTCCTTTGGTATATTGCACACAAATGTAGCCATTGATTTTAGTGGTGAGACATTTACAAATATGTATCATTTTTCTTCCTCTAACAGGCACCTATAACAAATAATCTCATTAAGAACTGTCATTTAAGCACAGAGAATTAGAGTTCTTAGTTAACTTCAAGTTTTTCTTAGCAATAGCACCTGGGTCACTGTTGCCTCATTGGATATCTCAAATCAGACTAATTTCACAATTAATGCTTGTTCATTATTCAGTTTGTAATAAATTAGATACCATTTTCCAGTACAGAATACATTGTATAAAACCTATTAAATCTATTCAGTAGTTTAGAAGTTTATACATCCCCCCCCCATTGGCGCTACAGCCCTCATTTGGGCCTAGGCCTACCTCCATGAAACTCTCCATTTCACTTCGGTTTTACTAGATCTTAGACATATGATGGGACTCCTTGGGCGGGTGATGAGCTCATCGCAAGACCTCTACCTGTACACAAACACAGAAAAACACATACAAACATCCATGCCCTGAGTGGGATTCGAACCCACGATCCTGGCTTCCAAGCGAGCGAAGGCAGTAGTTTATAGATTAGTGTTATTCAATTAGATGTTTACAAATTTTGATCACTAAGCAGCCTTTATCACTCTGTACTATTGTCAAATGTATATTACTGGTGACAACACCATTGAAGATCCAAGAAGAAAATTTGACAACCCCCATCTCTAGCTACAGTTTCCATGTAGAACTGTTCTTTTGATCCACTGTTATGCATTATAGTCCTTGAAGGGACACTGAGGTCATGATGTTACTGAATATGCACACTGTATTAACTTTTGTAGGGTCAAGACCACATACTAGCTAGCATTATTGAGTGAGATTTGAACCAACAGCAGCATTGATTTGAGAATAATATTTAAATTGACATAAAAATTTATGATAACACAATTTTAACAACTGTTTTTTATAAAAAAAAATACTCTGTGATTTTAGCCCGCAAGTGAACTATACCGAGCAAGCAACCGCTCTTTGTTGGCGAATTTTAGTGCCAACTTTAGCAGACAGAGGATGTCGCATGGTCAGCGTGACAAATCCCCACAGCCATTAATTTCGGTTTTCTAGACAGGAGCCGCTATTTCCTTGAAATAACTCCTCATTTATCATCATGAGACTGAGTGGACCCCATTCCAGACCCACTACTTCTCAGAAGAAAATCTGGTAGAACCGGGAATCGAACCCGGACCTCTAGATCTGTAGCCAGGAACTCTGACCACACATATTAAGAGTATTTTTAAACGAGTTCTAATCTTTTTTTAAATATGCACTCAAGGATGCTAGTTAGTAAAGTTAAATTAGCAGTCACTTTACAGCTATTGATTTCATAGCATATAGCATATGGTATCTTCTTTAACTGACAAATATATGATGTATATATGTGTGTTTTGTGTGTTTCTTTGTGCCTCTAAGAATATTACTGTTTGGTTTGAACAGATTGCTCTGAAAAATGGCTGTCCACAAGACTGGGGTCTTGTTGAGTACAGCACAAGTGAAGATGCAGAGACTGCACAAACAACACTTAATGGCTTCTCCCTTCATGGTCAAAACATTCGCATTTGCTATTACATCCCAGGTGTTAGGGCTATCAATTTGTACCTCAAGCTCCTCAATGATTCAGTAAGTTCAACTGTTTATCATGTAATTTTCAGTTGTGTGACTTAGCAGCAATATTTTGTTTATAATTCAATTACAGTGAACTGTGATTTTTATTTCTCATATTCCTTGAAAGAAGTCAAGGTTTTCACATATCCTAGTTGTCTGATCCTGTTCCCTGTGACAGACTTCTCATATGTTTCCTGCACTTGCAGCTACTTCTTGTTTTCTCTCTCCTCTTCCTCATTGTGCTCTTCTTTCTCCTCCAATTCCATTCATTATCCATCTTATGGTTTCTTCCATGTATTTCTAGATAGCATTTCCTTTGGTTGGAACAGTACATATTCTCTCACTTGACTGTCAGCAGTTGAATAGATTGCTCTGTAGCCATCCGCCGACTTACAGCTGCCACGACTGTTGCTCGAGCTTGAGTTCTTAATCACAGGATACAGATGCTTCGGAGATGGGAGTGGAACACACTTCAGGGTTTATGAATCCGGGGACTCCAGAACACACTGTGGATTGCAGTTTTAATTTAAAGTTTCATTAATGATCGTATTTACATTATTCTCCAAGCTAGCCGCTCCGTCCGCCGACTCGCTACCACTACTGTAAAACACTTCTCTATTCTCCGTATATCTTTCAACAACTTTCCTCCTCAGCTCCCTATAACTGACTTCTTTCTCTTTACATGTCCCCCAGTTGACATAAAAATACAAGAAAAAATAGAAACATAAAAAGAGAAAGCCAAGGGTCGAGCCTGGCATCTGACCTACATTCGTATTTTTCGAGAAGCCCGTAAACTTTTTTGGGTCTTCAAGGCACATGAGCAGGGAACCCCAAGACCCTCCTGGCGGTCTCACCTAAGGTCAGTTTATGGGTTTATGATACCAGGAGCAAACTGGCGACGTTAGGTACAATAGTGAAACCCTAAGCTTAAGGAGGACAGTAGCTGAATTACAACTAGACGGGTCCTGGGATGGTATCTCACCGGAGGAGTGTCTCTCATGGTGTTAAACAATGCATAAGTTGTTCATACCCTTAATTAAATAATTTTGGCGAGGGATGTAGGGTTACAGCTCATACTAAGTGGATCCCTTGTCACCATAACATGCCACATTCTCAGGTTACGGAAGGAGGAGCAGTCCTTCAGGTACAGAGGGTAGTTGCGAATAAACTGAATTAGTAATTTTGGACCGTTGACGATGGGTGATCCTCCAGCTGGATATTTATGAAATTTTATACAAGGCCCTAGACTTGGACAGATCCTCAAATGAGCTAAGCAGAGGAAAATGGACGTGAGGCATGTCACATGGAATGTAATGGGTCTCTATAAGGCAGTTTCACTGACAACTTGGTGTATGACATTACAAGTAGAACCCAGGTGGAGGATGTTTGAGAACAGAGTGCTGAAGAGAATATTTGGACGCAAGATGTATGAAATAATAGGAGGGTGGAGAAAATTGAGAAGCTTCACGATTCGTGAAGAATGATCAAGTCAAGGAAGATGAGATGAGCAGGGCATGTAGCACACATGGGAGAGAAGAGGAATGCATGTAGGATTTTGGTGGGAAAACCAGAAGGAAAGAGACCACTAGGAATATTTTTACATAAATGGGAGAATAACATTAAATTGAATCACAGAAAGATAGCATGGGGTAATATGAACTGGATTTATCTGGTGGAGGATAGGGACCAATGGTGAGCTCTTGCAAACACAGTAATGAGCATTTGGGTTCCTAACTTTTGGGTAAATTCTTTAGTAGCTGAATGACTGTTGGCTTCTTGAGAAACATTTGGCTCTGTTAGGTTAATTAATTAATTAGTTGGCTGAACTGTTTGTTTGTTTGTCTGTCTGTCTTGGAGATTCCAGACCAATGCTTCACAGTACAAGCCCAGCCCATTCAAATTTTTATTCAGATATGTATGTGTGGTTTCACTTCTAAGTTCACTGTAAGGGTTCCTTATTCTTCTGATCCAGCTCAATAATTCTAAAACACCCTTTGACGATTTCTAGTAAATACTTTGAAGTTAATTTTTAATATTTTGGGTTGCCTCTTATAATCCATCACTGTAAAATAGTAACATTGTGACTAAAAGTGATAAAATCTTCTTGGGTGGTAGCCACATAAAATTAAAACAGAAGTCCATCATTTGAGAAAAATGCTCTGTCTCCCATCATCAAGAATACCATTTCCTGATTATGGGGACAGCAGATTTCTGAAACATCCGACTTTTGTTCTGAACTCACACTGCTGGTTGCTGAAGAAAATCTTAGCTCAGTTTTTCATCTATTTAAATTAGTTTTGACTTTCATCCCTGTATGTGTGCTATTCTGTAGATTCCCATATACGGCAAAGAGCAACATTTCATTTCACTTAGTGATACAATTATTTACATCTAAGCAGTAAAAACTCTGTTTGTTACAAGGATTCAGACATAGTAGAAATATACATTCTTCTATTTCCATTCATATGTGAAATGTTCCTTATATTCATTCCCTTTTGTTTTTCTTGTATTTATTCTGAAACAGTGTTCATTGAAATTTCTGCTGCTTCTTTAATGCAAATTAAAAAAAATACACATTTACATTTCTAAGTGAGCAACATGCTTAAGCTCTTGAGCCCCATTCAGAAATGATGCAGTCCGTAGTGGAGCATCAAGAAGTACCTGTACAAGATGCTGCAGTAATGCTGGTCAAAGAACCCGAAGAAGAAACAACAAATACCAGAAAAGAGACGTTGGCCTGCCAAGAGATTGAGGCACATCCAGAAGAAGAACCGACTTCAGTGGACATGAAACCTGAGGTGGCAGAGCAACAAGATGTCCCCAAAGTAGACGCCGAAGTAATGCCGGTTGGAGAACCGAAGATGAAAATAGGGATCGAAAACTGGCCACGGAGCGCTGCCATCAGAAACTGAAGGACTCAACACAGGGAAATTGTGGACTCCAGAAGAATCTGGGCATCGCCCACAGAGGGCTGAGCCACCATGCAACAGCGGCACAGCAAGAGGAGAAGAGAAGCGACATAAGGATGTCCTGTCGCGCAACAGTGGCATGACGCAAGAGAGACATCCTCGGGACGAACATGCCACACCATGCAAAAGTGGCATGGCAGAAAAAACGTTGAGAGAAACTGCACCATGGCCATGATTGAGCAAGCAACCCACAGAGCAGGGTTGCTGAGGAAAAATTTAAGGATGCCCCATGAAGAAAAAGAGTATCAAGGGACTGAGGCAGCAAGTGGCCTCTGTATGTGAGAAAGAAGAGGGAAATTGTGAACTACATTGAAGGGCATGGATCAGAACAGCGATCACACCTGGGAAATGGAGAAACTAGCAAGAACACCATCAATGTGATTTTCAGAGGAAAGATCGTGAAACAAGTAGTTGGTACTTCCAATGGGTTACGGAAAATAAGAAAATGTACCTTGTGGAGGGGTCGACCCTCTCCAAAACGAAAAAAGGGAAACAGCCCATATGGGAGGAACTGGTGAGTAGAAGTACCGGTCTCCCCAGCAAGGTGAATGAAGACTAAACGAGGAAAGAATGGAAGTGATGGATGAATGTGAGGGACTAACGTGATACAACTGGATATCCTGACAAGTTAACAGGAAACCTCTCGAGATGAGCTGGTATTAAGAAGGGAGTGGATGTAGCAGTCGAAGAATGGACAATGGGAAGAAAGAAAACACCGAACCAGAAATAGAAGAAAATGTTGCAAGCATAGCCTCGGAAGAAAAGGAACAGGGATGCACCATTAGGCTATTCGGGATGAACAGCCTTAAGAAGGGAGCAATGTAACATGTTTGGAATAGACACTTCCATGGTAACGCAATAACAGTGAGCTGTTGCGCAACGATGACCATAAGATATACACTGTCCCCTGAACTCTCATGCTACCAGAACTGAAAGTAGCAACAATATTGTTCACTGAAAAAAATGTGTTTCTCCAACACTGGGCCATGCTCCTCTATTGTAAGTGCATATCTTAAAATGTTTTTTTTTTTTTGATAAATGTTCATAGTAACTTCCCTTTTATTCACCTATGTTAAACAATGTGTTAGTCTTTTTGTACATAAATGTTAAGCAGAAGTGCATTTGAGTAATTTATATTTTAAGGGATATATGCTTTTTTGTATCTTACCCACACTGTCTTCAGATTGTTGCTTGATCTGTGAAACATTGTGAGAATATGCAAGTGATTTTCGGTGGTGATAGTAATTCCAGTACAGTTTATGTTTGTCTTTTTCTTAACCTTTTTACATTTCTCAGCCACAGACAAATACTTTAAAGCATTTTTTTTGGTAAATATTTGTATCAGTATTCTGATGTTACCTTTAATAGAATTCTCTTTATTTTAGTGTGAAAACTATTTTTTTTTCTTTTAGGAGTATTAGAAATTTTGTGACTGCTTGTATGAAGTGGTGAGACTTTTCTTCTGGGTTGTGATACCATAGTTTTTTAGTGAATACTACCATTTCCATCTCTTCCTCCAAAATGCTGGTATTCACCCACAAAGCTGCATGGTCTCAGAATCCACAATACCACAATCTTAACAATCATTGCCCGGAAAACTATACAACTTATATATAACAATCAGTCCAGAAATTTTATGACTTGCCTTCAAGTTTCATTAATGTTTATCAGAGGAACAAAATGAAAATGACAACAAATATACATGTAATTGGGTTTGGCACATCAGGAGCTCCTCCTGTGTGGCAGACTGTCATTAAGGTAGGCTGGGGAAAGAGTAAGTGCTATGCTTATGGTAATTGCTGCCACCTGGTTGATTGTTATGAATGGCCAGCTTGGAAATGTAGCATTTCTAAGTGAATTTATGATTAACAGTTTGTTTCACTATGAATATGGATTTGATTTGTTTTACAGGGTAACAAGGGGAAGGCAACTGGGTTACTGCCAGACCCACCAGCACCTGCTGTGTTCCAGCAACTACAAAGTCTTTCTAAGCAAAATCCTGTGTGTAAGTTTCAGTTCACTAGATATCAACACATTTTCTTGCATCTTTTTGACTCTAATTAGAATTTGTACCCAGCTGGAAGTTCATTAGACTGGCTCTGCAGCATGACAGCATTTGCCTAAAATGCAATATTTGCCATTTCTGAACACATAAAAATGGTGATATTTTCAATGGCCATTATTCATATTAAATTTTCTAACATCTTCTCCATTGGTACTTTATTGCTAGAGCTATCTGCTGGCTGTGACATAAACTAAAAGATCAAATGCGAAAGCTATTGAAATTTATAATGCCTGGCAATTGTCCATAATATTTTATAGGGAAAAGTTTCTGTGCAGAACATGTAGTATGAATAGGAGAAATGAAAGATGCATACAGAATTTTGATCAAAAAATTTAAAGAAAAGAAACCAGTGGGAGATATACATATGGGTGGGAAAATAATATTAAGCTATATGGATGACAAAAACTTGATTCATCTGTTTCACAGTAGGATCCAATGATAGACCCTTTTAGGCACAATAATTAACACTGGTGCCATAAAAGTAAGGTAAAGTTGTCCCTTTGCTTAACTAATTAAGCACTATGCCATGAAGGTGTATGGGAGAATGGAAATATATGTCCATATTTTCTTGACCTGGGCACTATTTATTTATTTATTTATTTACTTCATATCCATGGATCATTATACAGTGTTATAGGACAAGTCAAATACTTTACAATACAATAAATAAGAATAATAATAATAATAAAATAATATAATGATATAACAGTATACTAAGATAATAATAAAATGATGATTCTAATAATAGAACTCATATAATCATTTAACACGTGACACCTCTGTATGTCTCAAGATCTGATCCTTCTATCCCAGCACAAAATACCCTGGTATCCTCGATCTTGTTCCTGTAAGAAAAAAATACAGAACAGGGCAGTAAGCTTTCCTATAATGTGCTAATATTAAAATCTACAAGTTAATTATTCTTGAAATATATGTTTACAAGTGATTAGAATTAGGATTTGTCCCCAAACAAAAGAAACTTGTCTATACTATAGAAACAATGATCAAGTAGGAATGTCTTCAAAGTCTTTTTAAACTTGTATAGCACTGGTATCTCTTTAATATATTGTGGCAATGGATTAAAATACGAAGTCCAATATTATGGAAATTGTTTTTATATAGATTCGTATTCCATGGCACTGTGAACAAGTCATCTTCTCTTCTTGTATTGTGCGAGTGTATTCCTGAATTGGTTATGAAAACATTCAAATTGGTTTTTATGTAAACTAGAATTTCATATATATATACAGACATGGTAAAGGTAATATATGTAACGATTTAAAATATTGTAACGTGTTTAGACACTGAAGACGCTGTTCAGATTGTTAATTGGTTTATTTAACAACCTATAAGTATCGGCTACAATTAATTACAACACTGTTGCGGGGTTTCACACTTTATAACCCTATTTGCAATAATCTCTTCACTCTGTTGCGAGGTTTCACATTTTATAACCCTATTCGCAATAATCTCTTCACACTGTTGCGGGGTTTCACACTTTATAACCCTATTTGCAATAATCTGTTCACTCTGTCCTCAGTAGTCTACACGTATTCACAGTACAGAAGCTATATAAGTGTCACTGTGTTACACACTTCCAATTACTCCTCAGTTATCACAACTATCACTGATTACCACACGCGTCTGGTTCTTCTTTCCACGACTGCTGCTAGATTCCAACTGTGTTGCTCCGGCTCACACACTAACTCTCGCTTACTGTTCAGCTGGCTTTTTAGTCCATTCGCTGTTGCCTGTTGCCCGTGTCACAGCAGCGTTGCATGTCTCGTCACAGTAGGAAGTGGTGCCACGTAGCCCGGGGGGGGGCTACGTCATCGTGGCCAGAGCTGCCACGTCACTGCTGGGGGAGGGAAGGGGTGTCCTCCATAGCGCAACACATCACAATATTGTTTACAACTAATAGTTTTTGGGATTTGTATCATAGCTCTAATAGCTCTCTTCTGCAACCTAAAGATCAGTTTTTCATTTCCTGAATTGCCCCAAAATATCAATCCATATAATAACAAGGATTGAAAATAAGCATAATATAAGGTGTGAACAGTCTCTAACCCTGATACTCTTTTGACTACTCATAAGGCAAAACATATTTTACATAATTTATTTGCTAGTCGTTGAATATCTGTAGACCACCTTAGGTTCTTATCCAGCCAAACTCCCAAAAATTGTGTATGTTCTGTATAATTGATGACTGTATCATAGAGCTTTATTGATGGGCATTCGACTTGCACTTTTTGAGGTTGATGAAAGGATATTGCTATTGTTTTTCCTTTATTAATAATTAATCTATTCCTTTCAAGCCACTCTATCTGGAGATAAGTGGTCAACTTCACACCCCTGCTGCTTTATCCCCAGGGAAAGAGCCCCCGGTACCCACTGGAACATTGGTTCCATAGAAGATGGAAAATTTCATTACTTATTTGAGCTACTATATGCTTCAAACAAAGGACTCTCCACCATGAAGTTAACATTTATTTTGGATTCATAATCTTCTACATATGCAGGATCTGAGGTTCTCACAGTGGTGGTTATATAGAGTTCTGTCTTCTGCAATATAATGCTAGTCTGTTGAAAGTAAACTGACATTTCAGAGGAGAATGTTGCCTCCATCTGAGGAGTAAGCCAAGCAAGAAACCAACATGAAGCAGGCTGCAAGAAAAGTTCTGCTAAGCAAAATTTCTTATCACATATTCATTTTGAAGTAAGGCATGAAGTAATCCCTTGCTAGGATACATGCTACGTGTGACGAAAAGGTTTAAAAGATGGCATGAAGAGATTGTCCTGTTGCAAGGCAAAAATGTTTTGTCAACCGTAACCATTTAAAACTGTGGATATGGCACTGGTGTAGATATTGAAGAATGTGAACCCTGTAGCCACTAAGTTAATTTGCAGTTAATGTGTAAACTAGAATATTCGGTAGATATATATGTTTGTTATTTTTAAATTAACAAGATTGAAGAGGCATCCTCTATCCGACTACACATATTTTCTAAATGCATTCTCTGCTTGTTTGCATTTATTGTAGATATTAATGTTTTACTGTTAAGCTCACCACACTGCAGAGTAAGAAATTTTGTTTTTGTGTGTTCTGTAGAATGATATTATTTTGATATGAATTGATAAAGTTCAGTTTGGGCTTCGTGTAAAGCAAATGTTTTTATCTGTAATTGTTGGGTGTGCATCAAAATTAAATTTTCTGATGATAATTTCACTGTGAATGCCCAGCACTAAATTTTAAGTAATTCTTAAGTCATTAATTAATAATGTCCAGTATGCTAGTTTCAGAGTTGAAATATCAGATTGGTTGACCTTCCTTCTGCATTATGTGAAGTTCTAGGTACTTCTTACAATGCGGCAATATGACCCTTCTCTTTCCTGCTGCTCTCTTTCATTACCATGGACCTAACAACAGAACATCAAAGAATATTATGAAATATACTCTGTACTCTTGCCAGGATGTACAGTAGTCATGGCTGTTACAGCAGTGTGCAAATATGGTGGCAGAGTTTTGTAAGCAACTTAAATCGTTATTCCAATCCTTCTTTTATCACATGAGCATAATTTTTTTCTTGATTTAAGTGTTATTCCTTCTTTGAGAATTAAAATATATCATATATTGTGATATTTGCAAGAAAAGCAACCATGTCCTGATTGAAGAACTGGCACTTTTTCATGTCTTCAGTATGTGACCAGTATCTGTCTGTTGTCTTTCTGATGATGTAGTTATATTAGTTCTTCAGGCTTATGTTCAGGTTACATTTTAATTTGGTATTATTACTCAAATAAAGCAAACATCTCTATAATGGAATTTAGCATGGCTTAACCAGCCAAGTGGTTCTTTTCCATGTTCTTATCTCTCCCGCAGTGGCACATTAATGTAACCAATCATTACCTACTGGCATCATTCTTAAATATTACCAGCCACAATATAATTTGTAATTTCATTAATACTTGGGACTTAATACCATTTTTGTACTAAAGGTAACATACTCAGTATTTGCTGCGACTGTTCTGAGGATTTGTAGCAAGCGATGTTTAGATGAGGATTGGAGACAATCCCATGATGGCCAGTGTGGTATGTGTATCAGTTAGTCCTCCCACCAGTCATCAGTGTTATAACTATATATCAGCCTAGAAGAACTGATTTGTGTTACTTCTTCAGTGAATCCTCTCTTGTTGGTGCAAGGCCCCTTAAGCCACGAGTAGAATCCTGATGCTCACACCCTAAACACTATACCGGTTTCCATCCACACATCCTCCCGATATTTTCGATGTGGTTTTAAGATCACGTGGCGCTCGACTATAGACAAGGAATGAGTCAGAGGAAGGAGACGTAAGAAGAGAGCAGTTAGAAAGTGGTCTCCCAATGAATGACTTTGCTAACATGTGGCTATGCAAATAAAAAGGGTTATATTAAGTTTCCCCAGTCATTAAATTTGTCATTGCTGAATTTAATTTTATAGTTTTTGCTCCTTTTTAAAATGCAATATCTCAGTCATGTAAATCATAGAACAAAAATCCTCTGAAAAACCAATTATTGGACTTTACACATCTATATTTTCATTTCTGTAGCTGTAAACATTAACATTTATACATATGTTTTAATAAAATTCCATATTTTTGGCTTTATTCTCAAGAAATTCGCCACAGTTGCCACTGACTTTCATTTCTGTTCAGACTATGTGATCTCATCTCATACACATGCCTGAGTCACTCACATTCAATATACGCGGTCTTGACAGGAGGGTGTTAGAAATGAAATATGGTCATAGTAGTCTGTTGACAGATCTGTCTTGCAAATACACATACTCTCAGCTTGGCTTATTGCAAGACTGTGGATCCTTGCAAGGTTAGAAAAAATGTGCAAATTTATTATCCATGGTTCATTCTATAAAATTATATACAGAACAGATCTGTTCATTTTTCCATATGTCACAAAAGTGAAATAAAAGAAAAATATGGTCTCTTACAAACAGAATGGTTTGGGGGAAAGAAATTTGGGAAGCAGCTATCGGATTGAAGTTTTAATTTTTTCCTTTCTTTTTTACCAGTTGCCCAGAGTCTTCAAAATATAATCTGGACACAAATTCAGGCACTGCAGAGTGGTGCTGAAAATGGCAAAAAGAACAGTGTTAATGGTGCTCCACCAGCTAAGGGTAAACCTTCAGGTGGAAACATGCCAGGAGGCCCCATTAATCCAGTTCCCACTTCGAGTAGTTCATCAGCTCCGCTTGGACCAGTGGCAGACAATGCCCAAGCAGCACTGGTGATATTACTAGCAGCTCAGATGCAAGCACAGATGGGAAGCAATCACCCGTCACTTCTGGGGAACCCACAGATGTTGGCAACTTTGCAGAACCTTATCAGACAGCATCAGAGTGCCCCAGGGCAAGGTCCAGGACATGGACCAAATGCTTCAGCTTCAAACCCCAGTTTAATTGCCATGCAGACACCCACCATGGCTCCTCCTCCTGCCTCACATTACCAGTTCCCACAAAATCATGGCAATCTTCCAGACACCAGGAAAGTTTTGCATGCCAGTGGAATGAAAAATGGATTTATGAAGCCCAATCCACCACAAAAAGTAAGTTATGATCTTAAGATGATTTGTATAGCTATTTTAAATATTGTGTAATTTTTAGACTCTTGTGTTTTGTATCTACAGTCAAATTTCATGACCTTCTCATTAGGGTTATTAAGTATGGTGGAACTAGTCATTTCAATAATGCCTTGATTCACAGTATCGCCCCATTTGCTTGACCCTAGGAAATGATATTCCTTTCCCCCCAGATTTTCAAAATATCAATAAATACAACTGAGTTCAGTTCTGAAGATGTGCTCTGATTCATCTCAGTCACTCTCAGTCACATATTTAAAAACTGGTTAGATTTTCAAACTGTTTTTGTGGTAGGCTTCCAACTCTTTCTTTGTGCTGTCATGTGCAGATGACTGGTATTATGTATTTCATAGCTAGAAAATGTAAACAGTAAGAATTTGATTCATTTTGCTGAATGCTTGTAGATAGCAAGATGTAATGTATGTCCTGAAATTTAAGAGATGTAGAGGGGCTATGCTACAAGCCAGAAGTTCGCGGGTTCAAGTCCCAATGAAGTCACTGGATTTTTTTCAGTTACCTAATCCTTCCAGCCGCACTATGGTCCTGGTGTTGACTGAGCCTCTGACAGATATGAGTACCAGGAATTAATTAAATAACTTTTCTGGGGAGTAAAGAGCGGCTGGCGTGTAAGGCTGAAACCTTACCGCCATCTTTGATCCGATTGTCTGGATAATGTGAGATCCTCATGTCTCACAACCCTATGGGCCTTCATGGCCTATTACAAGGATAGCTTTACTTTTTTTTTAAATGCTCTGTAGTGGGAAAATTCAGTGACTGAGTATGTATGAAAGCAAGATTGTCTGGAAGCCTACCAGAAATCATTTGGCTCACTCAGATAAAAGGTTCACATGCATCTGAAGTGAAGTCCTGGAAAATGATCTGGCTATAGCAAAACGTTTTATCTCTCTCCTTTGATGCAACAGACAGTCACCCATATCTGAATAGTACTATAGCAATATGGTAGGCCATGTGACAGCTTGCATATTTAGATGCTGGGTTCTTATCACAGGACCTCAGGTTCAATCACAGGTGATTCTACATAACTTATGTGATGGACAAAATGGCACTGGAGGAGGATTTATTGTCCAGCTGTCTTCATGTTTCCACTGCTGATCATCATTCTGTAACTCCATACTTATCTATCACCACCCTTTGAGGTGTCTTGACTAAAGAGCACTTTTATCACATTCTTGGTCTTTATTTAATTTGGAGTTTTATCTTTGACCTGGCACTTGGCTGATATCATGGCAATTAAAAATTCAAACTAATATCGTACAATCAACACAGCTTGTACACATTGACAGTATTCATTATTTGGCTACATATTTCAATGTTAATGCACAATTTTAGGCCCCAGAAATGCTAACCACAAGTCTAAAGAAACTTAAAACATTTTCCAGTATTATACTGCCCACATAAATTTTTTTTATATGGACTATAATCTTTACCTGATTCAGCCATATTGGTAATATTTATAGTCTAATTATAATTACATGAATGTTAGAGAACATAAACAGTCATAAAATATAAAAACATGACGACATAAAATATGACAAATATGAGAATAAAATTATGCATACTACAGCATTCCGTCACCTGTGATCAGTGGTTACTGCAGAGAAACAGTACATGAATATAATTCTAGGATCAGATGGGGTGCTGTTTCTATGATAACAGATGACAAATATACAGAACACTTCTTGGGTATGTACATCAACCTTACATCACCTCTGACTTTTACAATATCTGCCCCTACATTAATGTAATTCCACCAGACCTGCCAGGAATTGAACCCTGGTGATCTGACCTATATTCCATCAGTTTAGTGACTGAAGTATCGATGTTAGCTTGCATAGACAATTTACATTTTCATTGAGTTTTGTAGTAACTTGATCGCTCAGTGGTTATTCCTTTTTAAAATTGCTGTGTGAAGTGCAACAAAAGAATTAATGTCTTAACATGAGTATACCCAAATGAATATAATTAAACAGACCATTTCTGTGATAACACATTCCATTTATCAATCATTCCTGGAAATGCCAGGATAGTACAGGAAATTCCATGAAATTTCACTGCAGGAAGAACCACAAGCTGACAGTTCAGCTTGGCAGAAAAAAATGGAAGCCTTGCTGGTTCTATGATATCATGGTGTACAGGGAATTAATGGATGTGCAAACATGTGAACAGAATACAGTTGTAGTGGATTTGAATTAGTGCTACAAACCTTTTGTTTTGCTTTCTTTATCCTAATGATTTGACACGGCAGTAACATGTCTTACAAGTGGTGCTGGGGCGGGTTTTCTCCGAGTACTTCGGTTCCCCTGCCAATCTTCATTCCACCAAATTCTCCATCATCATAATTACCCGGGGCAGGCTACAATATGCCAATCAGTGGCCGCCGTGCCAAGTGGACCCGGTTGGACTCAACCCCCCACTAAGTGAATTAAAAAAAAACATATCTTACATCCAGCTGAGAAACACCTATGCTGAATCTCAGCCAGGAATTGGCTGCTGCTAATAGTTTTGTGTGTTTCTTAGTTTCACAACTCTTTTCTTAAACTGTGTAGGTTATACAGTATTAAGAATATTCTAGTGTTCCTTAGTTCCTACAAGCAGAAACTTTGGCAATACCTTAAAACACATAATGTTCCTGTTCCACATTCTTCTCTATCTATCATTTACAGTCATCCTGCTTTATCCTGTTTGAGACTACAAACATTCTGTACGTACTGCTGTGTTCTTAAATTTAAATTTTCTTGCTCTATGACAAATGTAGTGTCAAGTCAGAGAGCTGAAGTGCCTAACTTAAAGATAGGTGATATGATGATGTCCTGCTCAGTCAGGGTTATTGCTCACGTCAAGGGATTCATGGTATAAATTATGATATTATAAATATGGCACAGTGATGGAATGATGATTGGAAAGGGAAAACTAAAGAGATTCAGAGAAATCTCTAATCCAGTGCTACTTTGTCCTCTAAGAATCTCACATGAAGTCACCTGTGCTTGCATGTGAGGCTCTTCAGTGAGGAGCCAGCATCTAACCATTTGTGATATACATAGTAATGTTGCAAAATAACTTTTGCTTAGAGCAGGTACAGAAACATGAATCATGATGGCATATAGTGCTCTTCAGCACATTATTCTTCATGAGATATGCTTGAAATGACCTACAGGACATGTGGAAGTTAGTTTCAGTGTACACTTCTCTGTATTGCACAATCAGTGATAGAAGTTTTTTTTTTAATTGGTGATGATAGCAGGAGCAAGGAATTTTTGTGTATTATCTCTTGTTTAGTAACTAGACATGGGGTTTGGATTCGTAATTAGATTGATTGAACTGTTAAGAATGATAACTATAAGTAATTACAGTGCTTTCATTAATCCACACACTTTACAGTTTACTCTATCATGCACTAAGTCTGCTTAATTCATCTTCCCTAGTGGTTGCCTGGTAATGGAGCCCAACACTGTCCTCTTCTACTCACTTTATTACCAGCTGGATATTCTCTTGCATGTAACCCATGACTCCAAGTGTCTCACATTCTTGACTGTGACTCACAACTAACTCTCAACTGACTGGATGCTCTAGCTATAGAACCTCAGGCAGACCCAGCAGGAGACACCATTTCCAGTGGTTCCTGTATTGTTGCATCACATGTTCATTGTTGCTGAACACATTTATCAGCCATTCCCTACATAAATGTATATTTTGTTTGATTCTGTAAGCATGTGTTTTTATACAAACAATGTGAGGGGTAATAAAGAATTACACCTGTCTTCTCATTATATTCCAAGTTAATGACAAGGATTCTGTGGGACACAGTATGCACCTATCAGATTCATGGAATTATTTCCAGATGGTTGTGTCTTCATCTGCAGATATTAATTTGGACTGATGAATGTTGGTCTCACCTTAATAATACCCCAGTGTAAGGAAATAGTGTATACATTGTCAAAACTTTCTGTTACGTATTCAAATATCCACCAGTTATATCATGTTCCTTGAGAGTCCATTCTTTTTACAGTTTATTAATGTCTTATCACTGAAGACTTGCTGATTGGTAAACTTTTTTTGCACATATTATGATGCTTACCTACTTTAACTCTTTCAGTTTTTCATCATCATCCTAATATTCATGGCTGAGTACTACATAGTGTCAGCAGTTAATAGAGTGCCATTGAATAGCCATTGAGTTAGTGGTGACTGGTGTTTTAGATTGTGCACTAATTATCTAAGTAATAATTAATGAAATGCACAGAGCAGAGCCCTTCTTGAGAAGCCAATAGTTGACTCATGTTTTATGGAACCTATGTGATATGGGATACCTCAGCTGATATAAGTGACTGTGTTGCGGGCTGGATGACAAATTCAATTCCAGGCATGGGAAAGGAGTTTTGTCATTGACACCACACCCAGATTGGCTCTGTGACTTGCCCACCTCCCTGTTCAGTGGGTACCACCAGCTTTTTACCAGTAGTAAAGCAGCTGCAGCATGGAGCTGACCACTTGCCTCCATGTAATGCTGGGGCTAAGAACTGAGAAGCTGTACCTCCAGTTCCTCATATTTATTCATGATATTGTTCTTAATCAAGCACAAAGATAACGTTACCTTCACTTGTATGGAACTTGGAGATTTGTTACTGTAATCTCGAGCCTCCCACTGGACCTCATCATGAGCTAATGTCATCCAGTCCACACCCTCCAATCTGATTTCTTTAAGCTCCATTTTAATAGTCCCTTCTCATCTGTTCCAAGACCTTCCAAGTAATCTCTTTGTTTCATGTCTTCTGACCAAAATTCTTTTTACATTTCTCCTCTCCCATGCATGCTATATGCCCTTCTTATCTTCCCTCAGATTTTATCATCATGTTAATATTTGATGAGGAGTAGAAAGTATGAATTTCCAAATGTCCAGCACACTGCTCTCAGATGCCCTTAATCTTTGTTCTTCCCCAAGTGAGAGAATATATTTCACAATCATAATAAAATGATGGACAAAATTATATTTTTCTATATATTAATTTTTAAATGTTTAGAGAGAGGATGAGAAGGCAAATTGTTTTGAACTGAATAGTAACAAGATTTCTTTAATTTAACCCACAGTACCCAGGTCTGTTCTGAGAGACTGCTGTAATTTTTGCTCATTAAATTGCATTAATCCAGATTGTGAACAAAAAATTGCTCTTGAGGTTTCTTATCCTACTTATCAAAAGGGTTCAGGACAGACCTAGACATACCAGTACATGCTGTATCTGTTTTTAAACGTATTTAATGTATGACATAAACATGACTTTATTCTTTTTTATTTTGCAGATCGGAAATATTAGAAATTGTTTTACACTGAAGTCATGTTTTTGCTTGTTGCACATTCAGAAGAGGTTTGTTAAACTCATAAAGTAAAAGTTACTTAAATATTTGGGTAAATTTAACGGAATTGTAAATCTTTATTAAAGTAATGATTTTGTCAGACTTCTGAGACCTTAACAGTTTCTATACCATTCAGTTTCAAGGCACTATCAGCTGTTTGATTAAATGTGTTCGTTGCTGAAAAAAAAAACACACTTTTGCTCTGCATTCCATTCACACAGGTTTTCTGCATAAGAGGCATAAGTTTTTCAAGAGCTTGGAGGGGTGAGGTTGGGGGTCTGGAAACTTAGGTATGCAATGTGTGTGCATATGCTGGCAAGTGATTCACCTCCCCCCTTACACTTAGGCTTTGTGATCGTTTTTTGTGCATTTATGTTTAAATCACCCTTCTTCTTCTTCTTCTTCTTCTTCTTCTTCTTCTTCTTCTTCTTCTTTTTATTTTTTTTATTCACTTAGTGGGGGGTGGAGTCCAAGGGTCCACTCAGCACGGGGACCACTGATTGGCCTATTGTAGCCTGCCCTGGGTGATTATGATGATGGATAATTTGGTGGAATGAAAATTGGCGGGGGAAACCAAAGTATCGGAGAAAACCCGCCCCAGCGCCACTTTGTCCACCACAAATCTCACTTGACCAGACCCGGGATGGAACCCAGGCCGCCACGGTGGGAAGCCAGTGACCAACCGCTTGAGCTATGGCGTGGCCAATCACCCTATTGCTAGCATCTACTGGAGCTTCTGTGTTTATATTTAAACGTTTGTGTTTTCATCCAGTAAATTGGCATCTTTAGGGGCACACAGTAGCGTAGTTGGTTGAGACACTATGCTCCAAGCCAGAAGGTCATGGGATCAAATCCCGATGAGGTCATTGGATTTTTTTAGATTTACCTAATCCTTCCAGCCGCACTATGGCCCTGGCGTCGACTCAGTCTCTAACAGAAATGAGTACCAGGAATATTCTTGGAATGTTCTTGGGGTTAAACAGTGGCCAGCATATAAGGCTGACAACCTTACCGCCATCTATGAGCCGATGGTCTAGAAAATGTGGGAACCTCAACATCTCACAACTATATGGGCCTCCATGTCCTGTTACAGGGATACCTTTACTTTACTTTTAAATTAGCAACTTTGCCATCATCAGCACTGGTTGAGGTGCCTGATTCAATACCATTCTCTCCTAATTTACTTGGACCTTCATATAGCACAATCTAAAACAAGGTTTTTACTGTATACAGTGTTATAAACATATCAATATCAATTCATTGATGATCTGAATATTCGCTTATACAGTATAATACAACAGTGTCCCAATGTTGGAATTATTGAGAATTGCACAGTGTAATAAAAATATGTTGGCATGCAGGAAAATAGTTTTTGGATTTGCATAGAATCTGAGATAAATGAGTTTGAATACGTAAGTTACAGTGGGTTTGCATTCGTGAATTTGTTTGTATGATCTAGTAAGTTGATGGGTTTTTACCTTCACAGGTGCCATTGTTGCCCAATCCATCAGCAGCCAGTATGAGCCCACCTCCAGGTGAAGTAGCTCCCTGTCCACCATTCCCGAGCCCAGCATTGGAAGATGCAACAAATGCAGGCATTCTGGGCATGCCTCACCTTCCTGCTCAGGTTCCCATTCAGGATCCTACAAATTTTTGGAATGGTATTCTTAGTCAGATCCAGAACCAGCAACAGACTCTGAATTTGCCACCATTAGATCCAAATCTTGTTGTAAAAAATGGCTTCTTTGAGTATGGCCTGGGAGGGCCCAAGAGTCCTCTTCATACAGATAAGTCCAGCAGCACTCATTTTCAACAGCAAGTTTCTTCTGGTGCAACAAAGCTACCATCTCATTCCCACACACTCAATCAAAATGGAGGTATGTTATTTTCAGACACTTTACCTGGAGAATTGCAGCAATCCATCAACACCTTCCTTAGCAATACCCACAACTTGAACCAGCTTTTGGGGTCCTTGACAAGTGCCACCCAGACCAATGGGACAGCTACAACTGGAGGGATACCTGCCCAACGCCATGTTATGACAAATCCCCCAGGTTTTCCATTCATTGGTCAACCAGGGCCAATGCTGCAAACTGTTCAGCCTGGCCCTCCACCTCAGCCTCAAGCAGAACAAACTTGGACCATGTCTGTGGCTCCCCCTACTACTACCAGACCACAGCCGGTGGTCACCATGGCAGGGGCACGGCCTATTCTAGGCAGCCCTGTAGCTGGCGGACGTTCCATCCTCAGTACGCCAGTGCCTGCAGGCCGTCCCATACTGGGAAGTCCAGTGCCTATGCCAGTTCCTCCACCCAAGTCCCTGGGGTTCCTAGATGTGAAGCCTGGGCAGATACAGCCATCACCATTCCAGAATGGATGGGCCCCTGGTACATTCCTTACTTCAACAATTCCTGGTGGCACCCCTACACAGTACGGAACATATTCTGTTCCAAGTCTGGTGCCTAATTTATGGTCTCATCCTGGAAGCCCCATTCTCATTGCCTCACCTCCTGGACCACCTGCTGCAGGCCTTGTTACACCCATTGGGCAGAAAAGAAAATACAACCGCTTGTTGCCATCACCTGAACCCAGTCCTGAGGGTAACTACATAGGCCAGCATTCCCAAGGGCTGGGAGGACATTATGCAGACTCCTACTTCAAACGGAAGAAGAAGAACTAAATGAGCACTGACTGAGCTCTACTTTCATTCTGTCATGTATATGCATTTGTACAATTTTAAAGCCTGATTTCAAGGTCTTGGCTGTCAGTGGTGTTTAATTTCATTTAATTGTATGTAATTGCAACAGAAGTAGAACCAAAGCACTGTACATACTGGACATGGTGAATGAGTGAACTCACAAAAAGAGAAAGGAAAGCATACATACTCATTCCCTCTCGTCATTTTTCACCCACTGACTCATGCTACATTCATTCCAGTAGTTCAAAATATGAATTTATGACCTTGAATGCAGTGCAGCTGAAACAGAAAGTGCCTTCATTTGTGATGCAGTATATTTTGTTATTTATTTTAGAGTAAGTTTTATCACTATTGAAGAGTAAGAGTTACACAAAGAAGATAAAATGTTTAAAATAAAAGTGATATTTTTGTTAGAAAGTGTACTTTGTTCCAGTAGTGGTGTGGTTGCAATTTAGGAGTCTTCACATCACTTGTGTGTAGCTTAATTAATGTGTATTGTGTGATTTTGGGACTTCTTGAACAACTGTCTAAGCGTGTAGTGCTGCTGTAAGCTTTGATATCTTGATACTTGTACTGTACTAAATATCAAGCAGTTGCACTTCTGACATCACAAAGCACAATAGAAGAATAATCTTGTTTGACTGTCTTCACTGCTGTTCATATCACAAACATCACATCCAGAAAAAGTGTTCCCCCATTTTTATTTATTTATTTTTCCGTGAACTTTACTGCATGAAACCCAGCCATTTTATGCAGTTTATTTTCGTACTTATTCCATCTGTTTAGAGGAGACCATATGGACTAAGTATGAGACTTAAAGGAACAGTTCATATTCCACCAGTAAAGTGTTGTGTATGTTACTTCCTTTGTTGATTCTTCTTCTTCATATGTGTAGTGTTTCATATGATGTTTATTAAGTGGTAGGATCTCATTTACATGTTATATGTAGCATTTTAATTTCAAGTCACACATTCATTACTCAAGAATATAATTGTGTATCAGTATATATATATATTGGGAATTTATCATTATTGTGGTTTTGTTAATGTAGCTTTGAATGTTTTCATAGCCTCCAAGTGAAAGGCTCAAATTTAATTTTATACATAAAAGTTAATGCAATTTTTAATTTGGAATATGGATAAACACCATTTGTGAATTTGCTCTGTGTTAATATACTAATGAAAGAAATCTGCCCACAATATATTGTGCTAGAGCAAAGACAAAGTTAGGGAGGACCTGCTGGTATAGCCTTTGAGTGAGTGTTCTACACCCTTCAAAATACCTGTTGCGTGCAGAATTTATTTTGTGTGAATTTGGATTATTGTTACTTATAATTCATTTGTTGTGAACAATACCAAGCAGTTTTGTTCATTACTTGCTTAATGCTTCAGTTGTAGAGATTTACAAAACTTTGTAATGCTATTCTGTAGTTTCTGTTGTGGAAATGTACACAAATATTTTAAGGTACTCACAAAGTGGATAAAATATTTGTGTAATATTACTTTCCATTTCCTCAGTGTGATCCTTGTATTAAACAGGAGCTGTTGAGTTTTTACTTATGACCTTACCAGATATAGATTAGTTTGTTGGACATTGTCCATTATCTAATGTAAGCAGAGGTATACTGTTTCATGTGTGGTTGTATTTTGCACCTGTCCATAGTACTAACCTAGCATATTAAACCATTTTTATAAGTAACGGAAAGACATTTTGTTGGGCTCAGTATTCAATATTGTACTTATATATGTTTGTGAATTATCATATTTCATGTTCTTATTGCATCTATCACCCCCTTTTAGTTCACACTGCTGAATCTCAATAAAATATGACACTTCATTTCACTGTTTTTTGTACACTCAACTCACAGCATCCACATTTCACTTGCTCTTGTGTCCAAGCCTAATTTTTTCATCAGTGATGAACAATAATTTTTATTCTGTGATTCATATTTATATGTTGAAAATATCTCATTTCTCTCTGTAGGCAATATATGAAATATCACATTGTGAGTTTGTTTAGTTAGTTATTACTGTTACAGAATTATGCATAGAAGTGAAAGGTTTTGAAAATATGAAAATTTCTTTTTCATCACTGATATAACAATTTTGGGCCTTTCTGTTATGATCATGAAAAATTACACTTTTCAAAAGTTGATTTTTCTAATTTGATGTAAACCACAGAATTTTTATTGAATTTTTTAAAATGGTAAATATGTAAGTAAAATGTGGCATATCTGACTTTTAGGTGTGTTAAAGGGGCACATGAAAAGTTAAATAGTTCTGTCTAGTGTGACTGGTGGAGATTTTTCTTATTTCAGTTATTTATGCCATTACATGTTTCAGTCTTCAGAGACCATCATCAGAGGCACACCTTTACATCAATACAGTTAGAAGCTACTATTACAATATATGTTCTGAAAGTTTTTTTTTATTATTTTTATTTCTAGTGGGGTGGGACTAAGTCCCTTGTACGGCGGCTATTTCTGGCCTATTGTACCAGCCCCAGATGATAAGTGAGGGTGATTGTGGAGCAGTTGGTGGAATGAAGATTGGCAGGGGAAACTGAAGTACTCGGAGAAAACCTGCCCCAGCACTACTTCGTCCACCACAAATCCCACTTGATCAAACCCGGGCCACCACAGTGGGAAGCCACCGACTAACCGCTAGAGCTATGGCGCGGCCCATTGTTCTGATAGTTGTAATGTATACGTTTAATATTAATAATATACAGTTGGGTATAAAATCTAAAATCTTTACAACTGCAGCGGCTCTTCCAATACATTAAAATATTTATAATTGGTTTGTTAAGACAATATTGGAATTCATAAACGAAGCAGGTTCGTGTCGTCCATCTTATTATTTCTTTTGATGTGGGCCAAATGTGTGCTGCCTTGTTGTTCTTGAGAATCATATTCATAATATGGGCTTGTCATTGTGATAGACACACACATTAATCACCCAATTTTATTTAGTCACATGCAAATAAAAAATCTAGGATGTTAATTTTTTTTTTCTCAAGCTGTGACACAGGGGTGCTGGACCTCTAGAAAGACAGTACACTTTCAAGGAGCAGGCAAGACAACTATTGAGCACCATGAGCAGGTGGAAAAAACTTTCGTGGAAAAGTGAGCTGAGGCTAGGGCTCGTGATTGAAGGCCTTCCATGGATTTCTTACAACCAAAGCAACACCTCTGCAGATTTTTTTGAAACCTTTTTATGCTGTTTCAGATGTAAAGAAAGTGGAAACCCCTAAGACTGCATTTTATTCCCTATATAATACAGACAAATTAGAAATGTATCAAGCTAACACCTTTGATACTTTTAAGCATTAATTGTTGGTGGGACCCAGCCCCTGTAGCCTCTAGAGAAGAGCACCTCCTGTTTTGAAATATCTGTGGCAGCTGTACATCTAAAACAACTTATGTTTGAATTTTACTGGGCCTGTCTGCACTGTCAGAATGCTGTGACAATTTTTCTGCATCAGTTTTATGCATGACAGATTTCACTAAGGATACAGAAGTGCAGAATACATTGAAACAAATTAACACCCAAAAGATGGGTATGTTTGACATTTTTTTAAGACAATACTCAAAACATATCCATATAGTATATTATACCAAAGTAGGAGAAGGTTAGTGAGGAATGTACACAGGTATATTTGGCCAACTTGAGAGGTTAAATGCTTGTGCCCAACAAGTATGGTATACGTAAGTTTTGAGGTTTTCACGGCGATGACTATGAAGAAAGTCGTCTTCTGGGTTTTGGCGCCAAAACGTCAGCCAAAAAGAAGAATACACGGNAGTCTGCTAACAAAACACATTTGCAACCTGAAAACACTGTAGCTATTATTTTTTCTACACCCTCAGTGTTTGTTAAGGAGAAAATTCCTTGCTTGAATGTTTTGGGCTTTTTCTCACCAAGTTAGAAAGAAGGCCTTGTGTGGTCATGACTGTCTGTGCACTACTATCTGTCCTTAAACCGTTAGACGATTAATTTGATTTCAGAGACTTCCACTAGAAGTTATCAAGTAGTTGCAGTTTTCAGACACATTGCCCCATAAGGACCATAAATAGTTAAACAGGCTGCATGTGATGTTAATATATTGCAAAGAATGCTGCCTGGGATTTTCTATACTATATTATGGAGTGTGTTCTTTTTAATCATGAATATCTAGATGTAAAGAATGGCCCATATTTCATACCATGTAAGATGAGGAATGATTGACATTCAGCAGCATATTATTTACAAAATAAAGAGTAATAAGCATACAGGTATGAGTCTTGAATTTTTGAGATTATTGAGGAAAAAATATCTCATTCTTTATTTAGACACACACACCTCAGTAGTATGCAAACTACCCAGTCCTTGAGAATATCAGTGGTTCACAACACTGGCATGAATGAGCTTGTCGACAAAGTTCATGCTCCCCTGCAACCCACATATTCCTCTATTTATGTACATGGAAGTTGCTAGTGTTACATAATTATGGTTAATAACAGAAGTGATCTAACAGACAAAATTCTCTTTCTCATTTCAATCAAAATTTGTCCAAGTTCCTTTCTTGATCTTCAGCCAAAATTCATTCTCACACAATCCTAATAGTAAGTTATAATCTATGCCTTCTGGTCCTCAGCAAATGCTCAATGGACTCAATGTGTACAGCACATCATGAATAATTCTGAACAATTTAAACCGTGTTGTAAGCCACAGTTTAAATATGCTTATTGCATGCTAATCTGTATTAACTTTTCTGTTATGAAATTGTGCACAATCATTTCACTACATTCTGCTGGCTCATATTTTCTTCATGAATCTCTGTTAAAATATATTTCTTTTGCTGAAAAGCAAATAACTGCACAGATTTCTTCTTTGTACCATTGTTCGAGTTCGCTTACTATATTGAAGTGGCCCTTGTAAGGAATGCTCACCAAATGAAATAAAATAATATGCAGTGTTATTTATTATAAAGTATTCCCCTTGTGTCCTGGTGGATTCTTTGTTCTTCAGGTTATATGTGACATAAATGTATATAATTCCTTCCCTTCAAAACAGACTTAAAACATTGATTTTGTGAGGGGAGTAATGCACTCATTAAGAAGCAGATATTACTACATTAACAGACATAAAAGGCCTCAGACAGACAGAGATGTAGACATCAGTTTTAGGATGTAAATAACTAATGATCTCATATAAATAAAGTAGTGTTGACTTCTGTGCAAACTAATGGGATTTCAAGTCATACTTTGCATTCACAAATTGTCGTTTCATCTGGACATATTTGTAATGAATTGCTATTTTAAAAAGATTTTGGAGGCCATAAACTTAATGCATTAAAGTGCCTTAATTTTAGCAAAAATTTTTTAAGAAGCTTTATTTGTTTGCACATCATGTAACAATTTACATATTAAGTGGATTTATAATACGTATAAAACTCTGTAGTTGAAACCAAATTTCACAGTTTGCAAAGTTATTTTTTAATCATGAGAACGGAGTGAATAGTTTATCTTACCAAAGCACAAACAAACTATTATGCATGGTATTATTTATTGTAATGGAATATCTGAAATGTTTAAGATAGTCATGGGCATTAAGAAGGATTTTTTTTTTTTCGTTTGTGATGTTTGTCGATATTTGTCCTCAAGAGTGAGGTTGTTTCACACTTTTACATTTTCAGTAAATATATTGATGTCTGATCCACAGTAAATTTAATTTCAACTTAAATTTCATTTCATTCAGCTGTATGACTGTATTCAACACACATCCCAAAATTTTGAAAGAAATTTTCAGAATTTTTCATTTACACAATTCAGACAATTTGGAATATAGATCACATTATTTTTTATATGTTTATGATGCACATTTGAGGGAGCTTAATAGAAACGTCTTTTTGGCAAGGTACTTCATGATTACATTACATTACACTGCATTGCATTCCATGGATCCAAAGTTAGTCAGAATGACTATAGGATGTGGAATATGTCATAAGTACAAATCATATGTACAGTCCCAATGGAGTTCTCACACAAGAGAAACCAAGAATACATAGTGACTACATTTTCATTCATAAGACCTTTGAGATCAGATAGCAGGTTATTAAAAATTTTGATCCCTGCATAATATGCGCTTTTCTGAAAGCATGAGAGGTTAGCAGTTGGTTTATGAAGACAGTGTTTGTGTCTTGTGTTAACACTGTGTACATCCGCATTCGTCTCAAAATGTTCTTCGTTATTTGTAATGAAGTTTATTAATGAATATACGAGGGCAAATTTAAAAGTCTTTGCCCCTATTTTTTTAGCCACAATAATACACATACAGGGAAATCAAAATACAGGCAGTGTTCTAAGTACCGTTGACTAGTTTTCCACATAGTCACCACCCCAGTTCAGGCATTTGTCCCATCACACCACTAGTTTGGAGATGCCGCTGTTGTAGAATTTGGCCGGTTGAGCGTGGAACTACCGCCGGACAGCGGCTTTCGCGTCGTCAGAAGTGAACCTCTGGCATGCCAGGAACTTCTTCAGTGGACCAAACACGTAATCACTGGGGGCGAGGTCTTGACTATACGGTGCATGCTCCATAATCTCCCATCTAAATGATTGCAGTCGGGTGGTGGTCCTGTTTGCCACATGAGGCCTGGCATCATGGAGGAGAACCACATCGTCCACGAGAATCCCCAGGCGCGACTGCAGTCATTCAGATGGGAGATTATGGGGCATGCACTGTATAGTCCAGACCTCGCCCCCAGTGATTATGTGTTCGGTCAACTGAAGACGNTACCGCCGGACAGCGGTTTTCGCGTCGTCAGAAGTGAACCTCTGGCATGCCAGGAACTTCTTCAGTGGACCAAACACGTAATCACTGGGGGCGAGGTCTTGACTATACGGTGCATGCTCCATAATCTCCCATCTAAATGATTGCAGTCGGGTGGTGGTCCTGTTTGCCACATGAGGCCTGGCATCATGGAGGAGAACCACATCGTCCACGAGAATCCCCAGGCGCGACTGCAGTCATTCAGATGGGAGATTATGGGGCATGCACTGTATAGTCCAGACCTCGCCCCCAGTGATTATGTGTTCGGTCAACTGAAGACGTTCCTGGCAGGCCAGAGGTTCATTTTGAACGACGATGCGAAAACCGCTGTCCGGCGGTGGTTCCGCGCTCAACCAGCCAAATTCTACAACACAGGCATCTCCAAACTGGTGGTGCAATGGGACAAATGCCTGAACCGGGGTGGTGACTATGTGGAAAAATAGTCAAAGGTGCTTAGAACACTGCCTGTACTTTGATTTCCCTGTATGTGTATTATTGTGGCTGAAAAAAAATAGGGTC